CCTACCTACCTACCTACCTACAGATTCAAAGCATCGCCATTTCTATCTACAAAACTTCATCTTTTTATCCAAAACATTTCATTAGAATCTGAAGCAGCCTCATCCTGACCCAACTCAAAACCAACCTTGCTGTGCCTTCCGAGTTCCCCGAGATTTCCTGGCTGCTGCTGCTGCGAAGGGGGGAAAAAAACCAGTAACCCCGTCGCCATAGAAACCCCTCAGCGTGGCTGAGGCCGGAACGCTTGAACCGACACTTGAAGTTCTTGCACGGGAAATTAAGGCCGACGGATTACTTCCGGGAGGGGGGGTGAAATCTGGTGGGGTGGGGTGCTGCCTACTGGCAGTTTCCGGCACCAGTGGGAACTGTGGGAATGATTGCGGCTGTGGCAGTTGGAAAGGTCCTTCGTTCCTCCCACTCCCTACAAGATACTGTGCAGAGCCCATGCCGATAGATGGCATTTCCTCGCAACGGCTTCTGGGCTCGCCGCCGCTGAAATTCAGAATAAGCTCCATTATCTTCCACCCGGGAGGTCAGTTTCCAGGGTTGGCAGTGCTTGTAGTGGTGGACAGTTGGGACTCAGGGGAGGCTGTGAAAGAATCCGTGGGAGAAAAGATGGGGCGGGACCTTGGGCTGAAGGGCATGCTTAAGTGTAACACCAGAAACACCCAGCAACAATAAATCAGGTCCATCTAATCTGCAATCAACCCTCCTCCCGCCCCCAGTACATACCGGTCAGTTAGTTGCCTTGTTTTCAAGGTACCTCAAGCAGGATCGGGAGATCTCCGGAATGAATTGGTGTTTAAATTCCTTAAATAAATCGTGAGTTGATCACCTTCCGGGGAAACAGTATTTGGTTGTATACCACTTCGAAAAGGAAATCTCTGCTTAGTTCCTGTAACTTATTAGCTATCATCAGTAGAGCACCATGCTTTATGCCTTCACCAACCATGTGAAGCTAATGGCCACACCCCATATCTTGTTAAAGGTCTTGTTTGTTGGGGGGGGGGGTGTGTGTGGAAAAAGTTAAACTGAATGAACTTCCAATGAAGTTTAGAGGGTTCATACAAGGAGAACTCCTGGATAGATGCATGAATTGCTGGTGGGGGATTGTGGGGGAGGGAATGAATGTTGTTGCATGATCAATGCCTGGCAGAGGGATGCCAACTGTCATCACAGATCTCTTGGATCAAAAGCAGGCTTTGAGAAGCATTCATTCTGAGTTGGTAAATACATCTGCCTTCTTTATCAACTGTCCAGTCTGTTGTGTTTATTGATTTAGATAGCCCTTGTATGTGCTTTACTCTCCGAAACTAAGGAGAATGTTCAGTGTCATCTTTTGGAAGTGTTCTGTGGTGCTTAAACTATTCTAGGTGAACAAAGATTTATTTCAATGCAGACAACAAGAATAATGATGGGTTTTTTAGAAGAAACATTTCACATTCTTTATATTTTATTTTTAGGCATCTGGATGTCATCAACCTTGCTGTTCTCGGTGGATAAAATGAGTTGAAGGCAAGGATTATTGATTATTAAGCTTCTATTGTACCTCTTATTTTATCACAGGGTGAGTGACTAATCTTGCTTTTTTAATTTCAAATGTATTCATATAATGACAACTGAACAAATGTTCGTTTTGTATGTAGGAATAAGTATTCATTTTTATTTTAGAAGGCAGTGCTCAAGTCTGGGCAGTTGTTTATGTATGTCCAGTGTATGTTCATCACATTAAATTAGAATTAAACATAGATTTAGTATGGTTGTAGTAGTGGCAGAATGGGTTTGGAAAAGGATATGAATAGGTGGAAATTGTTAATAATCCTTTACTTATCTTAGAATTTATTTTGTGGTGTATAATCTGATCATTTCTTAAATACATAAACTATTTTAGTTGCCTTTTTGTTACATAGTTTTGTTTTTATTCTTTGCCCAGGGTCAGCAATAATTTAAAGACTTCTCTTTGCAGTGCATGGACACAAAACCAATGCGCAGGTAATTATATACTTAATTAAGTAGATTGCATTGTGACATGATCATACTAAAATATTATTTATAATCAATGTATAGAATCTAGATAAGGGTTGGAGTAGATGGCCTACAAGGTCCCTTCCAACTCTGTTAATCTGTATCTGTATCTATCTAGACAATAGTACTTTAAAGCTTTCCATTTGTCCTCTTTTCCTCTGAGAACAGTGGTCCACTATAGTTGCCACTGCATTTTGGAAAAACAGACTAATGCACAAGTGAGTAATCTACAACCTCTCTTGGCTTTTGAATCACAGCTGCCAGTAACTCTCAAAGTTGGTCATGCCTTTTGAGACTGCTGAAGCATTATGAAGTTGTGTATCCCCATTTAAATGCTTCAGTACATCTCTATAAATTTAAATTTTGCATCTGTGTTACTTTAAGAGTTGGCAGCATTTGGTCAATCTTGTTTGTTCTTGGAACCTAATAAGTTAGGCCTGGTTAGTACTCGGATAGGATATCATCTGGGAATCCCAGGACTATAAACTAGACTGGGAACTAAAATGCTGGAAGAATACAATGGTAAATTATTCTTATACTGGGAAATATCCATGAAGTCTTACGTTTGCTTTAAGGATTGGTCTTTATTAATTCCTGTCTATGTATCTGCATAATTCTCTTGACTTGCAGCTATTTACTTGCCTTTCATGTACAATAATAATTAATTAATCATCTTCATTTAATTAGTAATCTGATCTAAGTAGTTGCTGAGATTAAAACTTGAATATGCAACAGCTGTCTAAAATAAGATAATGGATAAGATATAGAAAACATATTTAAATAAAGCTCGCCTGCTTTACCTTCTGGGTGGCTGATTCAACAAGATTTACTTTGACTTCTGGTATCAGAAAAACCAAGGGTCAGGGTCACACATTGAACAAAGCTGCAATATATTTAGCTTTGGGATGCATGTAAACATTGCCATTGTGTACTGTTCAATAAACTATGGATACATCTTGACATTTTCCCCCTTACCCATATTTTTTAGTACTATGATTTATATAGGGCGTTCAGGAAAAAATTACTTCTCTTTTTACAGAAAATTTAGACAGCCCACTAAAACTGTGGCATCTTCCTGCTTGTGGAAGGACACTCATTTTACTAGGCTTTTTTTTTTTTTTTACAAATTGCAAACATTCCATGGATCCACTTTGGATTTGTATTGCTTCTTACTTTTTTTCTTAAGTTAGATGTCATAAATAGATTTTTTTTAAATCAAATTCGACCATAAAATAGTCCCTAGATCCTCTCCTATTGCATTGGATTCTATGTTAAAAATCAAGGAAATTGAATAATTAAAATATACATCTCATCCTAATTAAAAATATATCTTTTTGGAATTTGAATTGTCTTGAAAAAAAACTAACAGTTTTTTAAAAAGAAAGAGAATTCTTATAACCCAAATTGGTCATAGTTTCTGTTTGGCTTTTTAATGTTTTCACATAGCTTTCACTATTTGGATTCTACAAGAAAATCTGGCATTACATGCATTTTATTTTGAATATTTTCTCAGAAATTTGTTCAGTCCAAATATTATATTTCTTTATTAAAGTTATTCCGGCTATAATAAGTACACTTTCCCTTTTAATAAAGAGATCTGTAAATAGCATTATTTTTTTTTTCATTGTTGAATTACTTCTATCAAAAACTGTCAAGATGAAGTTTCTTATGACATTTTTCTTTCCTTCCCTTTATAGTTTAATAAATGCTTGTCCACTTCATGTTTTTGGTATAATGTTTTCTATCCAATGGTTTCACTGCTTTGTTACTTTATTAGGTGTACTAGCAATCGAGCAGGTGAAACCGGAATGGATGTAACAAGCCGTTGCACTCTTGGAGATCCCAACAAACTACCCGAAGGAGTGCCACAACCTGCTCGCATGCCTTACATCTCGGACAAGCACCCTCGCCAAACATTGGAGGTTATCAATTTGTTG